ATATGTAAACTTTAACATCAATAACCTAAAATGTAAGGGAGAGAAGTAAACGTTGTCAGTTTAAAATAAGGTGTCATCACCCCAATGTTCATAGCAGCAATGTCTGCAATAGCCAAACTGTGGAAAGAGCTGAGATGCCCTTCAACAGATGAATGGATAAAGAAGATGTGGTCCATATATACAATGGAATATTACTCAGCCATCAGAAAGGATGAATACCCAACTTTTACATCAACATGGATGGGACTGGAGGAGATTATGCTAAGTGAAATAAGTCAAGCAGAAAAAGTCAATTACCATATGATTTCACTTATTTGTGGAACATAAGGAATAGTATGGAGGACATTAGGAAAAGGAAGGGAAAAATGAAGGGGGGGGAGATCAGAGGGAGAGATGAATCATGAGAGACTATGGACTCTGAGAAACAATCTGAGGGTTTTAGAGGGGCAGGGGGTTGGGGGGATGGGTTAGCCCGGTGATGGGTATTAAGGAGGGCACGTATTGCATGGAGCACTGGGTGTTATACGAAAACAATGAATCATGGATCACTACATCAAAAAGTAATGATGTATTGTATGGTGACTAACATAATAAACATTTTTTTAAAATTAAAAAAAATAAAAAATAAAATATAAAATAAGGTGTTATATTTTATGTAAGCCTCATGGTAACCACAAAGGGAAAACCTGTAGTTATCACACACACAAAAATAATAATAATAAAGAATTCAAAGCATATTGACACCAAAAGACCTCAAGATACAAAACAAGACAATAGGATAAGAAACAAAGAACAATGGATCTACAAAACAGCCAGAAAACAATTATTGAAATGGCAACAGTAAGTCCTTACCTATCAATAATTACTTTAAACATAAATGGATTAAATTCTTCAGTCAAAAGACATAAAATAGCTGAATAGATTAAAAAAAAAAAAAAAAGAAAGAAAAACCGCAAGACCCAATGATATGCTGCCTACCTGAGACTCACTTTAGCCTCAAGACACACAGACTGTGAGTGAAGAGATGGACAAAGGTATTCCAAGCAAACAGTAACCAAACAAAAACAACAAAACAGGGGTAGCTGTACTTACACCAAACAAAATAGACTTTAAACTAAAAATGGTAAGAGACACAGAAGGTCATTACATATAGATAAAGGGGTCTACCCATCAAAAAGATATAAAATGTAAATATTTATGCATTCAACATTGGAGCACCTAAATATATAAAGCAAAAACAGAGGATAAAAGGAGAAATAAACAGCAATATAATAATTGTTGGAGACTTTAATACCTCACTTTCAACAATGGCTAGATTATCCAGAGAATCAAAAAAACAAAACAGTGGATTTGAACAACACTATAGACCCAAACGGACCTAACAGATATATACAGAACATTATTATCCTACAACAGCAGAATACACATTCTTGCCAAGTGCCCTTGAAACACTTTCTAGGATAGACCGTATATTAGGCCACAAAACAAGCCTAAGCAAATTCAAGAAGATTAAACTCATATCATGTATCTTCTCTGAACACATGGTATGAAACTGGAAATCAGTAACAGGAAGAAAACTGGAAAATTCATGGATAAATGGAAATTAAACACCGCTCTCCTGAACAACAAATGGATCAAAGAGGAAATTAAAGGGGGGAATAAAAAACTATCCTGTGACAAACTAAAATGGAAACACAACATACCAAAACTTATGGAATATGTGCAAAAAGTAGTTATAAGAAGAAAATTCATAGCAACAAGCACCCACATTAAGAAACAAGATCTTAAACAATCTAACATTTTAAGAACCTAGAAAAAGAAGAACAAAGTAAACCCAATGTTAGCAGAAAGAAGGAAACAATAAAGATTAGAGCAGATAAATGAAATAGAGAATAGGAAAACAATAGAAAAGATTAATAAAACTAACAGCTGGTTCTTTGGAAAGATAAGCAAAACTGACAAACCTTTAGCTGGACTAAACAAGGAAAAAAGAGAGAGGACCCAAGTCAACAAAATTATAAAAGAAAAAGGAGACATCACAACTGATACCACAAATATACAAAGGATCATAAGAGACTACTATGAACAACTATTCACCAACAAACTGGACAACCTAGAATAAATTTTAAAAATATATAATCTACCAAGACTGAATCAGGAAGAAACAGAAAATCAGAACAGATCAGTTACTAGTAAAGAGATTGAACTGGTAATCAAAAATCTGCCAAAAAAGAAAAACCCAGGACCAGATGGCTTCACAGTGACTTTTACCAAACATTTAAAGAAGCATTAATGCCAATACTTTCCAAACTTAAAAAAAAAAAAAAAAGAAAAAGGAGGGAACATTTCCAAACTTATTTTATGAGGCCTGATACCAAAGGCAGAAAAGTATCAGGCACTGCCTGATACCAAAGACAGAAAAGGGCACTATAAGCCAATATCCCTATGATTATAGGTGCAAAAATTCTCAATAAAATACCAGCAAACCAAATTCAGCAGCACATTACAGAGATCATTCACCATGATCAAGTGGGATTTATTTCAGGGATGGAAGGTGGTTCAACATATGCAATCAATGTGATACACCTTATTAACAAAATGGACAAAAATCATGATCCTCTCAATAGACGGAGAAAAAACATTTGACAAAATTCAACATCTGTTCATGATAAAAACTCTTAACAACAAATAAGGTGTAGAAGGAATGTACCTCAACATAATAAAGGCCATATATGACAAGTCCACAGCTAACTTTATGCCTAATGATGAAGGGGTGAAAGCTTTTTCTCTAAGATCAGGAACAAAACAAGGATGCTCACTCTCACCACTCTTTTCAACATAGTACTGGAAGCCCTAGCCAGAGTGATCAGGCAAGAAAAAAATAAAAAGCAGGAAATTGAAAAAAAAAAAGTAAAATTATCTCTATTTGTAGATGACATGATTTTATATATATAAAATCCTAAAGACTCCATAAAAAAAAAAAAACTGTTAGATCTTATCAATGAATTCAGTAAAGTTCCAGGATACAAAATTAACATAAACATAAAATTATTAATATAACATTAACATAGAAATTGGTAGTGTGTCTATACACTAACAATGAATTATCTGAAAAGAAATAAAATGATCCCATTTACAGTAACATCAAAAACAAATATTTAAGAATAAATTTAACCAAGGAGGTTGAAAGAACTCTACACTGAACACTATAAAACATTGATGAAAGAAGATAAAAATAAATGGAAAGGTATCCTGTGTTCATGGGCTAGAAAACTGAATATTGTTTACATTTCCATATTATTCAAAGCCATCTATAGATGCAATGCTATCCCTATCAAGATTCTAATAGCAAATTTTACAGAAGTAGAAAAAAAAATCCTAAAATTTATATGGAAGCAGAAAAGACTCTGAGTAGCCAAAGGAATCCTGAGAAAGAAGTACAAAGCAGGGCATCACACTTCCTGATTTCAAGTTATATTATAAAAGCTATAGTAATTAAAACAGTATGGTAATGGCATTAAAACAAATACAGACCAACAGAAGTGAGAACCCAGAAATACATTGGTGCATATACAGTCGTATTGAGAAGGGAGCCAAGAATACTCAATGGAGAAAATATAGTCTCCTCAATAAATGGTGCTGAGAAAATGTATATTCATGTGTAAACAAATGAAAGCAGACCCCTATCTTTTTCCACTCACAAAAATTAACTCAAAATGGATTAAAGACTTGAATATAAGCTCCTTAGTGGTAAACTCCTTGACAGTGGTCTTAGCAATGATTTTCTGGATATAATACCAAAAACATAAGTAAAAGAAACAAGAATAAACAAGTGAGACTATATCAAACTAAAGCTTCTACATAGCAAAAGAAACAATCAACAAAATGAAGACAACCTACAGAGTGGGAAAAAATATTTGCAAACCATATATCCAATAAAGAGTTAATAGCCCAAATACATAAGGAACTCACACAACTCAGCAGCAAAATAAATATATATAAATATAACAATTAAAAAATGGGCAAAGCACCTGAACAGACATTTTCCCAAATAAATTATACAAATGGCCAACAGGTACATGAAAAGGTGCTCAACATCACTAACCATTAGGGAAATGCAAATCAAAACCACAGTGAGATATCCCGTCCTGTTAGAATGGCTATCATCAAAATGACAAGAGTTCACAAATGTTGGTGCGGATGTAGAGAAATAAGAACGTTTATCATTCTTCCTCAACCCTGGGAAGGCTTCACTATTAACAGAGGCAGTTTATTTTTTTTTAAGATTTTATTTATTTATTTGACAGAGAGAGGCACAGTGAGAGAGGGAACACAAGCAGGGGGAGTGGGAGAGGGAGAAGCAGGCTTCCCGCAGAGCAGGGAGCCTGATGCGGGGCTCGATCCTAGGACCTTGGGATCATGACCTGAGCCGAAGGCAGATACTTAATGACTGAGCCACCGAGGCACCCCAACAGAGGCAATTTAAAGAACCAGCTTCCCAAGGAAGGATTGTGGCATGGCCTTGGCTGGGCAGTCCTGCTCTGGGTGACCCTGAGACTTCTGCTTAGTCTCTGCAGCCTTATCACCCCAGGGTAAAACGGGAGCATCGTTTGCCTGACGACGTAGATTCCCTAGGTGTCCACAATCTTGGGCACTATAGTTCAATCAAAAGGACCGAACACGACCTATCAAATCTAATTACTTCTTTAAAACGTTAACTCCCAAGACACAAAAAATGCAGTAAAATGTGTAGAAAATGAGCTTCATGGTATCTCTCATGTATACTTATTAAAACCACTTTAAAGCACGTTGTACAGACCAATCAGTGAGACTGTGCTGGTTTACCACTTCTGTTCTTCACCTGTTCTGGTGACCTTGAGCACAAGCCCTTGGGCAGGCCTCACCCCCTGGACATGGACACCTCCATATTCTCCAACACTGTTGCACATCTTTTAATTCGGAATTACCACCCCTCCCCAATTAAAAAAAAGAAGAATCAATTTTCCTTCACAGAAGAAATTATTTTATTCCATTTTTAAAAAGTAAAGGATACAGATATTTATTCTTTGCCTGGCAAAAGCCATTTTCCCGTGGGATTCCGGGCTCTGCCTCGTTAAGTTAATGGTGATATGTTAGAGAAACCTGTGGCCTCCAGGGGGCATAGTGAGCACAAACATTTGGCTGGAAAAGCATTCACATGATCAAAACATTTCCTGTAGCAAAAATTCACAAGTTCATTTTATCCTGAAGACCATTTTGGTTTTGAAGAAAAGATTTACTTTTGAAGATACTTTAAATTTACTAAGTGAACCCAGGGCAAATCGTTCTCCACATAGCTGAGAGGAGAAAAATGAGAAGCCAATTTCAAGTACTCTTCTGCAACACTCACCTCCTCTTACAATGATGAAATCTTCTCAATTCATCTCTAGGCCTGATGTGTCCAATGACATAAACCTCGCTCAAAGCTCAGCATTTGTGCAGTCTGTTTTCCTCCCTGGTGGCGGGCTTCTCCGAGCCACGTGAGCCCATTTCCATTCTTCCGTGGGACTGAGATGGGCTCCAGCCAAACAGGCTTTCACCCTCACCTCACGTACCCCTGCTCCACCTGCAAGGCCTCAGAGGCCGACCCATGCCTCCCTTGAGCCTCCAGCATGACTGCTGCTGTGTAGATGGGAAAACCTCAGACTGATGGGAGCCTGACCCCTCTTTTTATGGCCTTCACAGTAACGGTCACCTCTAGGCCCTCCATTAAGTGGTTTGGTTTTTAACATCATGAGCTACACTATATAAAGTGTATTTACCCGAAGAAAAACACTGAGGCCCATTCTGGGGCAATGGCTCTAGACTTCCCAAGATTAGAGTAAGGGAAGCAGCACGAAGCACACCTATTCTCCCTACGCCTGTTTTCCAGGTACACCCAGGGGCTGCCGCTCTCAGCAATGCCGGACTGTTCGGCCTTAGAAGTGTCACCTGTTGGGACCTCGGTGATAGGCACTCATCTTTTTCTCTGCACCTACTCAGCTCCAGTCACTGGCCAGCAAGAATTCTTTCCAAGAATGCTAACTTGGGTAATCTGGTCAGCCACTGCAGTGGGGATGCACCTCAGGGGAAACTGAGCAAAAGCCTCCAAATGTTCCGGCCAGGAAGTGCCGGCCACACCATGCAGCACCTTAAAGCCGGCCTGGGTATTACTAAGTAGTTCTAGAAGTACAAGGAAGAGAACTGCCCTTTACTTGATATTAGAGCAATTCGGATTCAGGGCTTTTTCAATTCTAGAAGTGACACTGCCTCAAAAAAGGCTAACTGGTGGGACAAACATGACATAGGGCTTCTTATAATCTGTCCTATTCCAAAACAGGGTGGTGTTCACCGCTACTGGACAGCACCTTTGCCAGGGGGACAAAGAGCACCATGTGTCACAGCCAGTCATCTCTTCCCAGCAGGCAGGGGACACTGCAAACAGCCACGTCACCAAAGCTGATCCCAGAGGCTCCCACGCTGAAGGTTTAACACCGCTCCTCAACTTCCGAACACCTCCGACATGGGGGCCCACGCAGTGCCAGTCCATGCTATACCTTCAAGAGACGGCATGTATCATGTGCACATGTCTCCCTTGCTGCACCTTCTGGATGCAGGGGGCTGAGGGGGCGGGTGTTTTGGCTCCCACAGCCTTGGATTAGGTGAGCCTATTCCCCAGGGTGAGTGTTCTGGAGAACTCAACACTGGCTTCTGAGACATGTCCATATGTCATAGAAAAGGAGATGCAGCACCCTAAGATATGGCCAATGCCAGGTGATGCGCATTAGGAGGCCGAAGGCTAACACTGGCCTGAGTCTTTAGAAACAACAAGAGCTAGTTCCCTGCCCGGGTGGTTGGACTGAACTGGCTGTCTGAAGAGGGGACGGTCGGCACTGGAACTGCTAATCTGGGGACATGCCCTGGAACTGCACTCACGGTCATCGAGCCATTGGGGACAGCAGTTGTGTTCAAGCTACTGGGGATCTCGCCAGTAGCTTGGATTTTAAAATAGACCAAATAAAACACTGGTAAAACAATCCCAATTAGAAGCATGATAAAAACGGCATTCCACCACTGAATTCCACAGTCTGCACCATTTGTCGGGGTCTTCGGAGAAGCCGGGAGCAGCGGCTGCTTGGAGGTCTCTACACAGTAACTTTCATTTAGAAAGATTTCTGACTGCACTGCGTGCTCAATATTCTGGTCAATGCCCTTAAAGAAATCCGTCAGTGGGCTGGGCAGGGCACCGGTGCCTACAGCTGCTCTATCTGGGTCTGGCTGCTCCTCAAAGGTCACTCTGGTCTCTGAGGATGGGCTCAGGAGGGGTCTGAGTTCTTTGTGGGTCTCTGTTAGGATCCCATGATTTTTCACTGGAATCTTAATAGATTTCAAAGCATATAAGTCTTGTTCTCTGATGAAGTTGTTGACTTTCTTGATATCTGCGACCTAGGAAAGCCATGAAGACAAACATCACGAAATATGTAAACTCCTTAGAACGAATATCCAAAAAGTAGCTCTCTATGAAAGAGGATCCAAGCCCACCCCGCTTAAGAATCTGATGAATATTGGAAAACTGCATCTATGTACAAAATTAGTTTAGGCTGAGTAACTTTTTTGGCTTTAACTCAGCCTGAATGTGTAGCTTAATCATCACATTTCCATACAGATTTACAAGTTTGAATAACATAAGATCAATTTTGGAAAAGAGTCTCTTGTTTGTTTAAAGTGTGACCGCAACAAAATGTTTTTAGGTGAAACCCAACCATGGCAACTTAAAAAGCTATAGCCCTTTCTACTTCTTTTAACTTTTGAGGCAACAGTGCCCCCGTCTGGCTGACTTCCTTCCCACATTAAGAACCCAATTCAGTAGCTGATTACATTAGCAATCCCCAAACACAAAGCCTCGGCCAACTCAAGAGACACTCAGAACCTATTTTAACTGTAATAACGTTTTAAGACGTATGTCCTCATGATTCTACCATGTTTTCTTGCCCAGAAGTATTGTATGGCATATAAACTTATCTTTTAAATAGAAGTGATCTAGGGGTAATACACTTTGAGGATTTCACAACACTTAATGATAATTAGAAACATACCGGGAATCATGAATCAAGTTGGAAAGTATGGGACTGAAATCTTCTGTTTTAATTTTACTACCGGAGGAGAAAGGAACAGCACTATGAGTTTTACAAAGTAACAAAGTTCATGACAAACTCCTTCCAAAATCAAATCTTAAGGGAGGGGTGGTGCAGAATGTAAGTCAAAGAGAAACCCTCCCTCAAGCTAATGTTTGGAACTTACTGAAAGCATTAGAGATGGACTTTAAGATCTTAACTCATAAGCCCACTTTAGAGTGTAAATACAGCCAACACACCTTTAGATAGCACCTTATTCAAATCAATCATCTCCATTATTTTTCACTTATTGAGCAATTGTTTTTATCATCTAATTGAATCGGGGTGGCAGACATTTGTAATTTATCATGTCTTGAAACTAAAGCATAAGGTGCTTGAGACCTGATGGTCTCTGCCTTTAATAAATTAACACCAAATTTATATTTACTTTAAACTGGAAAACTGATTACTTATCGGAGGCATTATATATATAGTCTTCACAGATTTATTAAACATCAGTATTCCAAGAAGCCCACTGCATCCACTCAGTGTAGGGTCAGATTCATTTTCAGCCCATGTCTATAAACCACACAGTATGCCTATTTAGAGAGTCAAATATAAATCTCAGTACAATTGAGAGACCACTCTGTGTCCCTAGAGACCAGCCTATTTATTTCCCCTGGGAAATACCACAACATCCTATACAATGTGTTTAACCATTTGAACCTTGTTAGATAAATGATAAGAAACTAAGGAGGAAAAGATTTCTCAAATAAATTGGTTAGACAGCCTCAGGGGAGGCCACAGAAAGTTGTAACACAGTGTTATTAGCAAAATGAAATAAATAGTTTCAATCTAGGAGAAAAATGCAGCAATTCTATAAATACTTTCCTACTTACTTTGCCATGTTAATCACTCTGAATGCTAAAAACATAATTAAAGAGAGAAACAGGGTTATACAGATACACAGCGTACAAAGGCTAGATCATGCAGTTCTAAAAGAGAGAATGTAAAACTTGACCGAATAAGCTACAACCAGCAAGAAAGGATCAGAAAAAGAGAAGGAGCCAAAAAAGCAAGCCTACCAAATAAATCTTGGATAAATTCTGCCTGGCATCTTTGGCCCTAGTAGGTCTTAAATAAAATGTGCTTGAAAGAAGAAAAAAAAAAAAAAAAAAAAGAAAAAGGAGGGAA